ACCGTCAGGATGAGGCCTTTTGCCTCGTTCTTTGTCCCGAGCGCCCCCAGCGGCAGCAGGGGCAGTAGTGATTTGTGGAGACGCGCTCGGGTTGGTAGCAGGGGTGCTGACAACAGAATCAATAGCCACCGTGCTCGGGATGGTGTCAGAGATGGTGGCTGAGGAAGAGGCTGATGCAGGAGAGGAGGTTGCCCCAGCAGCAGAAGTGGCTGGGGGAGTATTTTTCTTCCTACCAAAGGATGGAATCTGAAGCCTGCTTATGGTATAGCCGAGGGATGAGAGCGCTAGAAGGTTGTCTAAAGTGAGGAGGTCTGAGCAAGAAGGAATATCGTTCAGAACGTATTTCTTCAAGTAATTACTCCTATCCCTGCAAACACTGTAGCTCAAGTCATCACAAGGTATGCCTAAGGAGCGACATAAGAAAGTACAAAAGCGAGGAACACATGTTTCGCAGGGACAATTGTTTTTATGAGATTTGAATTTCTTATATGAGGAAACAGAATAGACGCCAAAGGCGCTCGGGATTGGGTAACCCTCTGCAGCAGGCGAAGACCAGGCCCCACTAATGCCCACGATGTTATCCCTCCAACCCTTTTCAGATTTGATTGTGTCCGTACATATGGACATCTTGTCGATCGGGTAGAGGTGGTAGAAGGGCTCGTTAGTTCGGATCTTACTGACCTTATAACACAGAAGAAGATCTATGAGGTCAAGGTCCAGACTTCTGTCACGAATCAACAATAGCATAACGGATATGATTCTAAAGAAATTGGGGTTTACCTGCAGGGGGGATATCCACAGTCTATTGAAGACATAATTAAAGAAGGGGTGCAGAGGGAACCTAACGACATTCAGTTGAAGGTTTGAAAATAAAACTTCGCCGGGAAGGAGGCCGGCACCGGTCATAATATTAACATCCTTAGGGCAGACCCTAACTTGAATGTTGTCAGGAAGTTTAAGTCTCATACGAAGAACATCTAGATCTACAACCATGGTGGAAGTGTTTGAAGGATCTAAAAGGGTAAAAAGAAGCCTGCCGAAAGTAAAAAAGAACAAAACTAACCTCTGAGGTAGAAAGCAACAAAGAGCACTGCAAGACCGCTGGAAGAATGACTTTTGAAGGATTTCACCGGAAGAAGTTTAGCACTGTTCTAAAAGGATGAACGAGAGATTTGACTGATGATGGAGACGGTAAAAAGGCATGAAGTGGTATTCTAGAGCCTTATAAAGGCGAGGGGGACCCGAGGGCCGAAGCATCAGGAAGGCGAGAAATTCATCGAGCCCCGGAACATTGATTCTGGATCTGACCGTCCGTTCCCCCATGTGGGTTTCTCGAGCCGTCAACGTCATGATGAGACGCCTTCAATAATTACCCCCTTATTAAACAAGGGGTAATTATGGGGGTAGTTGAGGAGGCCCGAAGTGGCATGGGCCGGATATGACTTGTAAACACGACATCTGGTCCGTACAGATGGGTCAGGCCCATAGAAAGATACTGCCATATGGGCCGAACGCGAATTAGCCCATCAAAGATGACCAGAACTCATAGAGGAACGGGCCTAGATCCAGCAGTCCATCGACATTTGTAAATATCTATAAATAAGAGAAGTAATGAATAGAGTGGAGGAGATATTTTTTGGGGTTGAAATGCAAGAGTTCTAGAGAGAGAAAGAGAGGAGGAATTTCCTGCATCTTCAATGACATTCTAACTATTGACGTGGGTGAAGTGGCATTGCCTGCACCCACAAGGGTCATGTCCTATATACATCAATGTCAATGTCCAACGAACGAATTCTTTGTGAGCAAATATATATATATATATATATATATCGTCTTGGATGGTATGAACGATACACTGATAATATTAGAAAACCGAATTCGTCCATAGACAATGGTTGGTCTACGTTATTAACCAATTCATGACTTAGGTTTTAGGCTTTGAAGTCCTTTTATGCAAATTTGATACAATTTTTTTTTTTCTTATTTTATTTTGAAAGGCTAAACACACATATATAGTTGGTAAGTATCAAATTAAAAGTGTGATTACTAAAGATGTATATTTAACCGACTAGCTTCTAAATTATATTATCAAATAAAATTTATCAATAATAGGGATTTGGATAAATAATTTAGTCAAATTTGAATGATTCAGCCGTAGAATTTGAAAAATTGAGTGATTTATGTATTTGTAAAGTCAGCCATAAACTTCTGCTCACTTCATTGCCTCCACATGTATTAATATATTTTAGCATTTAGTCGTACTTTCTCTTTCCTTCAATTTCAGTATACACGCATGTATCTATATATATATATATATATATCTCTCTCTCTCTCTCTCACTATATCAGCTTAGCCTTTGGCTTCGGATATCACAACTGTGACAACGACCAAGGAAGCTACAAAGAAGCTTCATATCTAACTTTATGTGGCTATGAATAATTCATTATCTAATAAAAAGTTATATTTTTATCAGTCCCTGCTTCGATGGTGGATACCTCCCTCCCTTAATTAAAATTTTAATGGTTAATTACAATGATACCTTCTTAACTTTATTATAATTACAGCTATATACAAGTTAGATCATTTTTAAACGATCCCTTTAAGTTTGATAAAGTTAACAAAGACACCCCTTGTTATAATTTTTGATCCAAACAGACCCTTAAAAGGCGAGAAAAGACTAGATTGCCCTTCAATAAAATATTAATTTTTGATTTAAATTATCCAAATCTTCAAATGACAGAATTACCCTTATTAATTCCAATTTTATCTCTTTATCCTCTCTCATTGAAAACCCATAAATTTTGCCCCCAAAACCACCACCACCACTTCCACCATTGCCATCCACCACTGCCACCTCCACCAAAAAATGAAACAGAGAAATTGCAAATGGGTTTAGTAAGAATTATTGCATACTATTATTATTATTTTTTTTTATAAGTAATAATTAATGTTTTCTCTGTGCCTATCCAATGTGTTTCTTCAATTTTGTGGGCAAAAAAAATATATATATATATATATATATTTCTTGGAAGAATGAACAGGGGTGATAGTGGTAGAGAGAGTGGAGGCAGTGCTGACCCTTCGTCAAAGCATCCACTGGCCGTGGAGACTCGGTGGCGAGCTTGCGAGCAAGATGCTATTCAAAATAGCTTTCAATCTCAAAAAGTCAAAAATAATGTTTGAAAAGCCAATCCAAACATGGCCTTAAACGACCCAAAATGAGTCCCTAATCCCATAAGCCCCTCTTGAAATGTTTTTTTTTTTCTTTTTCTTTTTTCCAATAATTAATTTGGAAAACAAAAAATGTGTTTATGGACATGCATGATTCGGTAGATTATGAATTTGTGATTGTGTTAAATGCTTTACAAGTAAAAGTGGGCACATTGCCAGTTGGGACTTGAATATGTTCTGCCTGTCTCTTATTAATGTGATCGTCTACTTTGTAGATATGCATCTTAGCCGTTCATGTTTGATGGTACATAATGACCACAAAGAATGGACGCTAAATCACGTGACAGTCACATGGAATGCACACCGACGTTTATATTCCTGTATTTGCGTGGAACAAGAGGATTAGTTCACTAACAACGAAGCAATAAGCTTCATTAATGTTCTCCACGCTTTTCATACCACGATCAAGTGTCGTAAGTGTCGTGTTTGATTCTATCCTTAATTGGAATGACTTAGTCCTCTATTTTTCTAAGTCACCATTATTTGGGTAATTTTTTATTTTATTTTATAGACTTATTTTATAAAATAAATTTCTCATATAAAAATTTGAATCTACATAACATATTACTAGATTATAATTCTCGGTCTTTAATAACTCAACTAAATTATTAATTATATATACCTCCTCATGTTGAGATAGTGATCCAATTTAAACTTTAGTAATCATCTAAACAAACCATAATATTTTCTCCAAATACATGCGATAAGTGAATCAAACAAAAATGCTTTGAGTCTGTAAATTGAATTAATGGGAGTTTGACTCATGACATTTTACATAGAGAGGAAAGATATGTGACTCAAGAATAAACCACATCAGCTAATAATTAATTTTTTATTTTTTTGTAAAAGATTGTTTCAAATTTGTGTTTAAGTACATTATCATTCATAATTTTGTGTTCAAGTCACACGTTAAACTTTAACTATTCAAATTACGAGAATGAATGGTAGATCCTAATCCCATTCACGGTGCGGGACAATGAAAAATATTTCAAAACAGATTTTATCTTAAGATGCAAATTCAACGTGCAAACTGCAAAACAACGTGTGTATATATATATATATATATATATATATATAAAGAGACTAAAATCACAAAATTCATCTTTACTATTAAAATCGTGCATGAAATTTAGAGTAAAATTAAAAAATTCTATAGAGTAACAAAACTTATCAAGATACCACAAACTTATGACCAAACCACTAAATAAGTTATGAAATGTCAAATTTGACATTGTTATTTAATATTAAATTTAAAAATATAATTATTATTTTAAAATTACAACTCAAAGTGCTTTTAAAAATATTAGTAATTAAAAGTTATTAAATCAAATTTGACTTTCAAAGTATTTGGGAAGAAGATATGGGTATTTTTATAATTTTAAAATAATAATTATAATCTTTAATTTAATATTAAAAAGTGAAATTAAATTTGACATTTCACATTTCATTTAAAAGAGTTAGTCATGAATTGAGAGTAACTTGATAAGTTTTATTAGTGTAGTAGTCTAAGTTTTATGCACAATTTTAAAAGTGAAAGAGGTTTATACGCCTTTAATCCATGTAAAAATGATTTGTTATTTTTAGTTTATCAAAATGATGTTGTTTTACATGTTGAATTTTATTAATGGTAAATTGGTAATGGCTTCAAAAGTAAATGCCTTGAAATATGTGTGCTGCATTGGGTAATACAGTTTTGATTCGCTTTCTTGTTGGTTTGGGCATTTTCGGATCACTGGCTCCACTATAAAAGATAAGATTTGTCATAACAATAGTGTGTGTATTAAAGTCACAAAGGCATCAAAAACCATTACAACTAGCAAAGCAAAAGCAACATCATTTTTTATCTGGGAAATCCCTGATCTGGCCTTTCAAAATTCTCACGCAAACCAAAGCCCTTTTCTGTTGTTCTGATAAAGAAGAAGAAGAGGCTAGAGAGAGAAAGAAGAAGGTAGAGAGAGAAAATGGTGAAAGACAGGAAGGTAGGTGTGGCGATGGATTTCTCAAAGAGCAGCAAAACGGCACTGAAATGGGCTATTGACAACTTGGCCGATAAAGGTGACACCTTCTACATCATCCACATCAAGTCTGGTTCCGTCCAAGAGTCTCACAACAGCCTCTGGTCCAAATCTGGTTCTCGTAAGTCTACTCTATTATAATCCATCACCTCCTATGTAATTATAATTATATATACATGTATACCCATCACGATTCATGATTGAATGTTTGATATTCTCGATCATCTGATCTGTGATCTGATTTGATCCAATCTGATCTGGGTTCTGTACGTAGCTCTGATTCCTTTGGCCGAGTTTCGTGAACCAGCGACTATGCACAAGTACGATGTCCAAATTGATACTGAAGTTCTGGACACCCTCGACACTGGTTCCAGACAGAAAGAGGTCTTTTTTCTCTTATCATGTGTTTCATGTCTCTTGTTGTTTTCTATATTACTTTATTATGCTTTTCGTATATAATTAAACCGATCATGTATATATGTATATATATATATGTTTTGTAGATTAACATTGTGACCAAACTGTACTGGGGAGACGCCCGAGAGAAGCTATGTGAAGCTGTTGAAGATTTGAAGCTGGACTCTTTGGTTATGGGAAGCAGAGGACTTAGTACCATCCAAAGGTAATTTCATGGATCTCACTTTTATTCGACACTTTTTTTTTTTTTTCATCAAATCATTTACACACATATATAAAAATATATATATTGATGTTTAAGCTCTGGGTGGTGATGAAAACAGGATACTTTTGGGAAGCGTGACAAATTACGTGATGACAAACGCATCCTGCCCAGTGACTATCGTGAAGGATCCAGATTTCCACAAGCAGTGATCAGAAAATCAGAGTCCGTTTTCAGGCGAGATCTATAATAATAATATATCTTCATAAATAAAAAATTATAATTCCTTTTGTTGTTGTGGAATTTTCTGTATGGTACTTGGGTGATATTTATGTATTTCCTATCCCAAACTTGTTTCACTATTTAACACTAAACTAAAAGCTTGATGATGATGTTGTGTGAGATTTGAGTGTGTGTTATTTTTATTTATTTTTATCATTCAAGATATTTTAGGAGTGCTTTGGTTAGTAAATGTGCCGTGGTGTGCTAATTCACATAATAAGCCATTAACAGTCAAAGATTACATAGTTGTCGCACATCACATAATGGTAGGGTCTTAATATTGACACCCGTATGCTTGGATCTTGAATATGTCTCCATAATTGTCAAAGCCCAAGCATTGGATAGAATAAGCACAGATAGACCGGCCCTTTTTGTCGATGGGTTCGGGCCTAGCCTCTGAAGCCCGCCCCAATTAAATGGTAGGTCACCCACGGGGTATTGTTGGATCTTGAATATGACACCCAAATGGTAAGGACCCACGAGAGTATTATTGTTGTGTTCTATATATATATATATGCTTGGAAATATATATATATATTCATACATATCTATTCATACATATATATATATATATATATTTTTTTTTTTTCTCAAAGGCAAAAAAGATGATTTCATTGATTCAAAGGAAAGCACAGTACATATTTTGGCAGTCCACCAAGGCTGCTTCCCCTTGAATCGCTCTAGGGACAGCAAGATCAAACATTATATCACTCTTCTCTTTTAAACCCAGGTGACTCAATACATGAGCAATAGAATTAGCATTTCTATCAATCCAATTCAAGGATGCCCATTGGAACTGGGAAAACAGAAAGCTAATATCTTCCCAAATAGCAGCGATGTAGCTTTGAGGACTCTTTGAATCAAGGAGCACTTTACAATCACCCTTGATAATTAAGTCAGTAAAGTCCCACTCCAAACTCCATCTAAGTGCTTTCCTAGCAGTAGTAGCTTCAGCCATTAGAGTAGATGACATGTTTGGTAGTGAACAGATGGCAGCTTTGACAATTCACCCTTCTGAAATTTGAACAACAAATCCTCCGGCAGCTTCTCCAGAATGAGCAATAAAAGAAGCATCAAAATTCAACTTATATACACCAATGGGTGGAGGTTGCCACGCCTCTGTTCTACTTGCAAGCGGTCCGTTACAACGCATAGATGGATCATTCATAATTTGTTTAAACTCATCCCATTGCTTCAAAGAAAGAAAAAGAACCTCGTGCTCCGTTATGACATGAGCTTCATAAATATAAGCATTTCTAGCTTTTCATAAATACCAAACAATGTCAGCAATTAAACTTAATATATCCATCCTCAATTTAGAGTGTTGAAGCACTACAACAATATTTGAAAACCATGAAAACCATGTAGAGTAAGGAATTTGATCAACCAACACCCTTAAAGGACTTAATTGCCACACGTTTTGAGCAAAAGGGCAAAACAACAACAAATGGTCGACACTTTCAATGTCAAGCCCATATCTTTTGCAACAAGCATCTTCCACTATGCTCCTGCATTTCATATTGGAGAAAACTTGAATATGACCATGGCAAGCAACCCACAAAAAATGCAATATTTTTTCCTTTGCTCGAATATTCCAAAGACTTTTCCACACTTGAGACCTAGTATCTTGGTTAGATGGAGAAACATGGAAAGAATGAATGGGACTACCTTCCTCAATTAAATGGTAGGTCACCCACGGGGGTATTGTTGGATCTTGAATATGACACCCAAATGGTAAGGACCCACGAGAGTATTATTGTTGTGTTCTATATATATATATATATATATATATATATATATATATGTTCATACATATATATTCATACATATGTATGAACATATATATATATATATATATATATGTATGTATGAATAGATATGTATGAATATATATATAGATATGTATGAATATATGAATACATATCTATTCATACATACATACATGGAAAGAATGAATGGGACTACCTTCCTCAATTAAATGGTAGGTCACCCACAGGGGTATTGTTGGATCTTGAATATGACACCCAAATGGTAAGGACCCACGAGAGTATTATTGTTGTGTTCTATATATATATATATATATATATATATATATATATATATTCATACATATGTATTCATATATTCATACATATGTATGATTCATACATATGTATGAACATATATATATATATATATGTATGTATGTATGAATAGATATGTATTCATATATTCATACATATCTATATATATATTCATACATATCTATTCATACATACATATATATATATATATATATATATTTTTTTTTTTTTTTTTCTTTTTCTTTTTCTCAAAGGCAAAAAAGATGATTTCATTGATTCAAAAGAAAACACAGTACATATTTTGGCAGTCCACCAAGGCTGCTTCCCCTTGAATCGCTCTAGGGACAGCAAGATCAAACATTATATCACTCTTCTCTTTTAAACCCAGGTGACTCAATACATGAGCAATAGAATTAGCATTTCTATCAACCCAATTCAAGGATGCCCATTGGAACTGGGAAAACAGAAAGCTAATATCTTCCCAAATAGCAGCGATGTAGCTTTGAGGACTCTTTGAATCAAGGAGCACTTTACAATCACCCTTGATAATTAAGTCAGTAAAGTCCCACTCCAAACTCCATCTAAGTGCTTTCCTAGCAGTAGTAGCTTCAGCCATTAGAGTAGATGACATGTTTGGTAATGAACAGATGGCAGCTTTGACAATTCACCCTTCTGAAATTTGAACAACAAATCCTCCGGCAGCTTCTCCAGAATGAGTAATAAAAGAAGCATCAAAATTCAACTTATATACACCAATGGGTGGAGGTTGCCACGCCTCTGTTCTACTTGCAAGCGGTCCGTTACAACGCATAGATGGATCATTCATAATTTGTTTAAACTCATCCCATTGGTTCAAAGAAAGAAAAAGAACCTCGTGCTCCGTCATAACATGAGCTTCATAAATATAAGCATTTCTAGCTTTCCACAAATACCAAACAATGTTAGCAATTAAACTTAATATATCCATCCTCAATTTAGAGTGTTGAAGCACTACAACAATATTTGAAAACCATGAAAACCATGTAGAGTAAGGAATTTGATCAACCAACACCCTTAAAGGACTTAATTGCCACACGTTTTGAGCAAAAGGGCAAAACAACAACAAATGGTCGACACTTTCAATGTCAAGCCCATATCTTTTGCAACAAGCATCTTCCACTATGCTCCTGCATTTCATATTGGAGAAAACTTGAATATGACCATGGCAAGCAACCCACAAAAAATGCAATATTTTTTCTTTTGCTCGAATATTCCAAAGACTTTTCCACACTTGAGACTTAGTATCTTGGTTAGATGGAGAAACATGGAAAGAATGAATGGGACTACCTTCCTCAATTAAATGGTAGGTCACCCACGGGGGTATTGTTGGATCTTGAATATGACACCCAAATGGTAAGGACCCACGAGAGTATTATTGTTGTGTTATATATATATATATATATATATATATTCATACATATGTATGAATATATATTTCCAAGCATACATATATATATATATATTTTTTCTTTTTCTCAAAGGCAAAAAAGATGATTTCATTGATTCAAAGGAAAACACAGTACATATTTTGGCAGTCCACCAAGGCTGCTTCCCCTTGAATCGCTCTAGGGACAGCAAGATCAAACATTATATCACTCTTCTCTTTTAAACCCAGGTGACTCAATACATGAGCAATAGAATTAGCATTTCTATCAACCCAATTCAAGGATGCCCATTGGAACTGGGAAAACAAAAAGCTAATATCTTCCCAAATAGCAGCGATGTAGCTTTGAGGACTCTTTGAATCAAGGAGCACTTTACAATCACCCTTGATAATTAAGTCAGTAAAGTCCCACTCCAAACTCCATCTAAGTGCTTTCCTAGCAGTAGTAGCTTCAGCCATTAGAGTAGATGACATGTTTGGTAATGAACAGATGGCAGCTTTGACAATTCACCCTTCTGAAATTTGAACAACAAATCCTCCGGCAGCTTCTCCAGAATGAGTAATAAAAGAAGCATCAAAATTCAACTTATATACACCAATGGGTGGAGGTTGCCACGCCTCTGTTCTACTTGCAAGCGGTCCGTTACAACGCATAGATGGATCATTCATAATTTGTTTAAACTCATCCCATTGCTTTAAAGAAAGAAAAAGAACCTCGTGCTCCGTCATGACATGAGCTTCATAAATATAAGCATTTCTAGCTTTCCACAAATACCAAACAATGTCAGCAATTAAACTTAATATATCCATCCTCAATTTAGAGTGTTGAAGCACTACAACAATATTTGAAAACCATGAAAACTATGTAGAGTAAGGAATTTGATCAACCAACACCCTTAAAGGACTTAATTGCCACACGTTTTGAGCAAAAGGGCAAAACAACAACAAATGGTCGACACTTTCAATGTCAAGCCCATATCTTTTGCAACACGCATCTTCCACTATGCTCCTGCATTTCATATTGGAGAAAACTTGAATATGACCATGGCAAGCAGCCCACAAAAAATGCAATATTTTTTCCTTTGCTCGAATATTCCAAAGACTTTTCCACACTTGAGACCTAGTATCTTGGTTAGATGGAGAAACATGGAAAGAATGAATGGGACTACCTTCCTTAATGTGTAAAGCGACGTAATAGGTTGATTTGACAGAGAAAGAACCGATACTAAAGAATGCCCATCTCTTTTTATCCGAACTAGCAAATTCACTAATAGAAATTCTTTGGATAAGCTTGCAATCTTCAAAACAAAAAAGTGATACAATAGAGAACAATTCCAACTCTTGGTATGAGGATCAATAAGATCATGGACCATTTGAATTTCCCAACCCACAGGACAAGGAGTTTGAACTTTGAAATCCATAGATTCTGGAATCCAAGGATCTGTCCATATATTAATACTTCGACCATTACCCACAGTCCACCTAAAACCTTTAAGAAGGATTTCTTTACTTGAAAAGATACTTCGCCATGCCTAAGAAGCCCCTCTCTTCATACTAGACTGCAAAAAAGAAGAATCGGGAAAACATTTAGCTTTGAACACCTTGGAGAACAAAGAATTTTCTTTCACTTCCAACCTCCATCCCTGTTTGGCCAAGAGAGCCAAATTAAAACTTCCTAAGTCTCGAAATACAAGGCCACCCACTTCTTTGTTTTTGCACATGATGTCCCACTTAGTCAGCAAACACCTTTATGATCATTTTATCCTGACCACCAACATTGAATAAATTTGCTTCGTAATTTTTGACAAACACCCAACGGAATTTTGAAGCAACTCATAGTGAAGGTTGGAATGGCTTGGAGAACAGCCTTAAGGAGAACTGTTTTCCCCCCAGTTGAAAAGTAAGAATGCCTCCAACTTTGAATCTTAGCTTCCATTTATCTTCAAGGAACTAAAAAATTTACTTTTTAGATTGCCCTATTTCAGGTGGTAAGCCCAAATACTTCGCATGGTTGTTTGCCAAGGAAATTCACAAAATCCATACATATGTATATGGATTAGGTCATAAATCAACTTTCTTAACCTTTATTTAAGGTTTTTAATTCTAGTTTTTAGGGATAAACTATAATCATGCAGGATGATTATATTTAACAAGTTGTTTGATTCTATTTTTTTTTTTTTTTTTTTCTTTTTGTTTTCTTTTTCGGAAATTTATTTCCATTGACGCCTTCTTTAAAATAACTGTTCTTTGAAAATTCAATTAAACGTAATACCTAATTTCAAATAATAGTTTTCGTGATTCTCCAAAAATTATGTTCTAGTATTTTTGAACCAAAGTCCTCAACCTTCTTTATCTAATATGAAGTTTGTAAATAAACCTCTGGGATTGATGTTTAAAAGCAGGTAAAAAATTTCGGTAAAAAATCATCATCGTCATACATAGTAACAAAGAAAAGCACCACGCTTCTCAAGCAAACTGTGATTAGTACTGGACGTAACAACTATTAGACACTACATAATAAGGTAGAGTTATATTTGTGACCGTGAAGTGCTTATTTGCCATTAAGTTTCAGACCATAAGCAACAAATGTAGCATCGGTAAATACCGGCCGCGTCTCAGTTGTTGGATGTGGTGGTAGGGTCACCTGATGGATGATTCAAAAGTTGGGATCCGCGGAGTACTATAGAACTTCTCAAGTAAACTAGTACTTATTTGGAAGCATAGTGATCTCGGAAATAGGCACTGGGAGGCAGATTTTCCTTGATAATACTCCAATTCAATTCCAATTACTTTCTGGATTGGTGTTCCTGGATGTCACACCAATCCAGAAAGCTACGAAATTAGCCACAATGTGAACCAAACCGATAGTGTCTCCACCGAAGAACCTCTTATCCTTCACCTCATTTTCAAGGGTTTTCAGGTGTTCACATGCCTCTTCTATGGCCACCTCTTGCTCCTTGTCTCTGCTCCAATAAGCCTTCCATATTGTAGTCACACACTAAAAAGCACAGTTGAAAATGACATAAACCGCAACTATACAATCTATAGTGTTTCAAGGTAACATGGGTATATAGAGAAGACATACCTTGTCATCGACGAACTTAGCCCAGAAACAAGCCATGACTCTCTCATAAGGATCTTTAGGCAAGTGGGAAAGCCTTTCCATTATGCAAGAGCATAGGGATTTTCTTGTTAAAGATGTCTTCTTCTATGAATTCATATTGGACGCCCTTTAGCTTCAGACCAATCTCAACCATACGGCTAAAATTGCTTCCTCAAACCCCAAAAAAACTATATTTCCTCTGTTATTACTACACTAATTCATTTAGTTTACTAACACCAAACGCAACTTAAAGTAGTGTGTGGTCCAATTCTGATGTGGGTTTTTCATTCTGGGATTGCTGATCAGTTCTTATAGAGGGACCATAACATTTGGTCACTTGCTCAACAAAACTGCGTCCATTGCTATAACATTTGGTTATTTGCTTACTCTGAAAAAATAAAAATAAAAAAAAAAAAATGAAAAAAAGGGAGTGGGGTTAACAATATATCCTTACCATGAACTATTTATTTTTATTTTTAACACATACTAAAATTTTCACTTACCAATGTATGTTCAGCTGTACAATATGAATAAGACTGAATTTTATTTATATAAATGATATTGAAGATCATATTCATACTTAATCTAATTTATTAAAAAGGAGGTCAATATCAATATCCATTATTGAGTGGATTTCTGGACAGGAGATGATTGCAGAAAGACTTGAACCATGATCCAAATTTTTAACAACGATTAAAATGAGTAATAAAAAAAGTAAAATCAGTGACACAACAGATTGAAAAATCCAAGTCCAAAAACTAATACAGAAAGTTTTTTATAAGGATACTATTGAACCACCTTGTCAACAGAACACACCATTTTGATCTAAAATGATTGAAATGAAACAGGAGTAATAAACAAACACATCATACATTATAACAAAGAACAGTACCAAACTTGTCAAACAAACACACAACAATACTGGACATAACAACTACTAGACACTAGTGCTTATTTGCCAAAGAGTTTGAGCAGCAAATGCAGCATCAGTGAACTGCTTATTTGGAATCACCACCAAATCGAGCTCGGAAAAAGGCTGTTAGTTTATCTCTGGGAGGCAGATTTTCCTTGATGACACTGCAATTAACATATTCGTCGATCCATTTAAATAAAACAGGAAATTTCTCCCTTGTCAGCAATTCGGTTCCACTTACTTCCTGGATCAAACCAGCCCAGAAAGCTATGAAATTAGCCACAATGTCAACCAATCCGATATCGTCTCCACCGAAGAACCTCTTACCCTTGAGCTCACTTTCAAGTGTTTTTAGCAGCTCATGCGCCTCTTCCATGGCCTCCTCTTTCTCCTTGTCTTTGCTCCAATTAGCCTTCCATATTGCAGGCGCACACTAAAACACACAGTATAAATTTAGTGTTAATAGAGAGTGCGATATATGCTAGGAGAATAGTAAATTAAATTAAATTGATATAGGTCGACATGACAAACACCTTGTCATCAATGAATTTAGCCCAGAAACGTGCCATGGCTCTGTCATAAGGATGTTTGGGCAAGATGGGATGGCCGCCTTTCCAGGTGTCGTCGATGTATTCGAGAATAACGACGGACTCGGCAATGGGCTTTCCATTGTGCAAGAGCACAGGGATTTTCTTGTGGACAGGGTTGTACTTGAGGAGCAAATCACTCTTCTTCCCAAACAGGTCTTCTTCTTCTATGAATTCATATGGGACACCCTTTAGCTTCAGACCTATCTCAACTCTGCGGCTAAAAGGACTTCGCCAAACCCCAAGCAACTTCACTTCCTCTGCCATTCCTTTTTAGTTTCTTAACACCAAACTCAACTTAAGAGTACTTAATATGTTAGACCAATTCTGATCTGGGCTTTTCAATCTCGGATTGTTAAGCTTTTTATAGAGGGAGCGTAGCATTTAGTTACTTTTAAGCCACCAAGACTGTGTCTATTATAATATGAATATGTTGACCAAACCCCATTAATTTTAGTGAGCTTTTATGAAATTGGTGGTTGGAGACTTCTGCATTTTAAATATGTAAAGATGGGGAAAAAATGACAAAAATAAATATAATGTTATATTTATATATATATCTATGTGGGGTCAATAATAAAGTAAGTCATCAATGATGACACCAATTTGGCTTGAGAAGGAAGATTGTAAGAGTGGCTTGCAGGGGAAGCCTCAGTTTAAACCTATAAATAGGCATGTATGTAACTGATCTGTATATCTATCTCAAAAGGCTTATAAATGAATTTTTTCTTTTGCTTTCTTTCTCTCTTAATCTCACTATATATATGTATACACACACACATATTTATTATACGTTATCAATATGAGTTCTATCCATCTAAGATTTGAAGAAGAAACTCTCTCTCCCTTTCTTTATGTCAACTATATATCTCTTTTGTGGTATTAGTTTTGATAGATTGTTGGGTTTATTTACTTTATTGAAAAAAATTGTATTTTGACTCCAAAGGGTAAGAAATTTTTTATTATTGATTATTATTCATTAAATAAATTTGTTCACTTAAATGATATATGTGCTCACACTATGGTTGATTTTACCACCCTTATTATTTAATGATTTACTAATTATGGTTGGTCTTACCACCTTTATTATTTAATGATTTATGACCGGTTTTTACCGCCTTTATTGTTAAATAATTTATTCACTATGGCTGGTTTTACCACCTTTGTTATTTAAATTATTCATATTATGTTATTGTTTTACTTAAAGCCATTTTATTTATTTATATACTATGCTAAATTATATTTTTATATTGTTATCACATGTAGTTATTCTGAAAATATCAAACTTGACAAAGCTGGAATTCGTGGCCTTGGATATTTCTAGCAAAAATTATTTATCTTAGATTTTAGATGCTCAGATCCATTTAGATGCCATGGGCCTAGAAAACACAATTAAAGAAGAGAATGATGCATCATTATAAGATAAAATGAAGGCCATGATTTTCCTTCAACGCCATATTAGTGAGGAGTTAAAAACTGAATATCTTATTGAAAGAAATCTACTGTGTCTGTGAAAAAATTTGAAAGAAAGATATGATCATCAAAAAACAGTTATCCTCCCAAAGGCTTAGGCTGATTGGTAGCAACTGCGGTTGCAAGATTTTAAAACTGTGTCTGAATATAACTCTGTCCTATTTAAAATCAGCTCTACATTGAAATTGTGTGGTGATACCATTACTGATGAACTTTTGCTGGAAAAAACATTCACCACATTTCACCCCTCGAATGTACTTTTACAACAACAATATCGAAAGCGTAAATTTGAAAAATATTCAGAGCTGATATCATGTTTACTTGTGGCAGAGCAAAATAACGAGCTTCTGTTAAGAAACCACCAGTCTCGTTCAACTGGATCGACATCGATTCCTAAAACATATGTTGCCTCATCCCGTGGTCGTGGTGGTAGAAATGACTATTATAATGAATATGGTCGTGTTAAAAATAACTACCATAATAATGAATATGGTCGTGGTAAAAATAACTACCACAATAATGAATATGGTCGTGGTAGAAATCACTCCTATTACCATGAAGGATATCAATCCTCAAATTTTTGTAATAAGAGATTCACACTATATCCCCAAAGGTGAGATTATAATGAAATGAAACAAGTAAAAGGGAAGGATGTGGCTCAACCTCCCAAGGCAAATGATAATACTTGTTATCAGTGTGGAATGATAGGGCACTGGCAAAGTATTTGTAATACACCTAAGCATCTGTCTAAACTTTACCAAGTCTCAATGAAAGAAAAGGGGAAACAAAAAGAAATGAATTTTATTGATCATGATGAGCCAGTTGACATCATAAATCTGGATGTATTAGATTTTTTTGAGGACCGTGATGGAAAGATAGACTTTCTGATTGGTGATGGAAATGTCCACACCAATTAATCCTTTTTTTTTTTTTTTTCATTTTCTGTCTACTATGTTTTTATTTTCTTTGTATTAAAGTTTTTATTTTCTAGTTTGTATTAAAATTTCTTTTGTTATAAAAGTTTCTTTTCTGATAAAGAAATTTGTATGAATAGGAATGGATCTGACTAGTTCCAAAATAAATGGAGAAGATATATGTCTTGCAGATAGTGAAACAACACATACAATCCTTCGAGATTAAAAATATTTTTCTCACCTAACTCTGACAGACGCTAGTGTCAATACAATATCAGGTCCCATCGACTTGATTGAAGGCTCCGAACGAGTTAACATCATTTTACCACATGGAACAAGATTACAAATCAATAATGCCTTATATTTTACAAGATCTCGGAGAAATCTGTTGAGTTTTAAAGACTTACGTCGTAATGGGTATCATATTGAGACCGCAAATGAAAGAAATGTGAAATATCTCTACATTACTTCCATTACCTCATGCAAGAAGCAGATATTAGAAAAACTCCCTATTTTCTCTTCTGAATTATACTTTACAACTATTAGGACAATTGAGTCAAATGCTGTGATACATAAAAAATCGTATGACCCAAAACTTTTTATGCTTTGGCATGATCGACTTGGTCACCCGAGGAGTATAATGATGCGTCGAATTATTGAAAATTTACATGGACACCCACTAAAGGATAAAAAATTATCTTACCAAATAATCATCTATGCACAGTTTGCTCACAAGGTAAGTTGATTATCAGACCATCCCCTTCAAAAGTCATTGTTGAATCTCCCCCATTTTTATAACGGATTCACGGGGATATATATGGGCCAATTCATCCACCCTGTGGACTATTTTGTTATTTTATAGTTTTAATTGATGCCTCAACACGATGGTCACATGTTTGTCTACTTTCTATTCGTAATGTTGCATTTGTTAGACTTCTTGCCCAAATCATTAAATTACAGGCACACTTTTCTAATTATCCAATTAAGACAATCCGTCTTGATAATGCCGCTGAATTTTCTTCTCAAACTTTTGATGATTATTGTATGTCAGTTGGAATTAATATTGAACACCCTGTTATACACACTCATACTCAAAATGGTATGGCCGAATCTTTTATTAAAAGATTTCAGTTAATTGGTCGTCATTTGCTTATGCGAACAAAATTACTTGTTTCTGCCTGGGGACATGCCATATTACATGTTGCATCATTGGTTCGTATACGACCAACTGCTTATCATAAGTACTCACCATTGCAACTTATTTTTGGTCAACAACCAAATATCTCTCAAATACGAGTTTTTGGTTGTACTGTATATGTTCCAATTGTACCACCCCAACACACTAAAATGGGTCCTCAACGTAGACTTGAAATTTATATTGGTTTTGATTCTCCATCTATTATTAGATATATTGAACCCCTGATAGGTGATGTTTTTAAAGCACGAATTGCTGACTGTCATTTTGATGAGACTATTTTCCCACTATTAGGGGGAGAAAAGGCACAGCAGCAACGTGACCTTACTTGAAATGCCCTGAAATTGTCTCATTTTGATCCTCGTACAAATCAATGTGAACGAGAAATTATGAAGATTATTCACTTGCAAAATGTTGCAAATCAATTACTTGAGGCATTTACTAATATAAAGAAAGTAATAAAATCACATACACCAGCTGCAAATGTTCCAGCACGAATTGCTGTCCCTGAGGGACCTTCTGTCAGTAATGCAGTAAATGCATCTAAAACACGTCTGAAGCGTGGTAGACCAGTCGATGCAAAAGATATTGTTTCTCGTAAGAAGAAATTACAAAAAAAAGCTGGCACTCTTGAAGAGGCCACAAAAGGAGCAACAGATATTATTGATCAATTTGAGATAATAGAATTTGATAAGGCAGAGGCTCTTGATGAGTCTCAAGTACCTAAAAATGATGAAATAATAAATATTGATGAGGCAAAGGCAACAGATGATGAGATGGCCCTTGATGAGGCACATGCCCTTGATGAGAAAAAGGTACCTAAAAATGATGAGATCTCACTAAATTATGAAACGAGATGGAATAGAAATGAAATTATTGTTGATAACATATTCTCATATGTCGTTGCTCTTGATATTGATAATGGGGATTTGAAATCTCAAAATGTCGAAGAATGTCGACGAAGAAATGATTGGCCAAAATGGGAAGAAGCGATACAAGTAGAGCTAAATTCATTAGCTAAACGTGAAGTATTTGGACCAGTAGTCTAGACACCTGAGGGTGTTAATCCTGTTGGGTATAAATGGGTGTTTGTACGAAAACGTAATACAAAGCCCAATTGGTAGCTTAAGGTTTCTCACAGAGACCTGGTATTGATTATGAGGAAACATACTCCACTGTGATCGATGCACCCACATTTAGATTCATAATACATTTGACAGTCACAGAAAGATTGCATATGCATCTAATGGACGTGGTTACAACATATTTATATGGATCACTAAATAGTGATATTTATATGAAAATTCTAGAAGGATTTAAAATGCTGAAATAATACCACGTAATATGTACTCAATAAACTTGCAACGATCCTTATATGGATTGAAGCAATCAAGACAAATGTGGTACAATCGCCTTAGCGATTACTTACTCAAAGAAGGGTATGTGAACAATCATATTTGTTCATACATTTTTATTAACAAATCAGAATCTGGTTTTGTTATTGTTACAGTATATGTTGATGATCTGAATCTTATGGGAACATTGGACGAGATCGAAAAGACGGCAACTTATTTAAAGAAAGAATTCGGAATGAAAGTTCTCAGAAGGACAAAATTCTGCCTTGGGCTGCAGGTTGAACATTTTTCAAGCGGTATTATTATCCATCAATCAACATATACAGAAAAGATTCTGAAACGTTTTCATATGGATAAAGCCCATTCATTGAGCTCTCCAATGGTTGTCCGATCACTTGACATCAAGAAAAATCATTTTCGTCCTTCAGAGGATGATGAAGAACTCCTTGGTCCTGAAGTGCCCTATATTAGCGCGATTGGTGCTCTTTTGTATCTTGCAAATTGCACAAGACCTGAAATAATTTTTCCAGTCAATTTATTAG